CCAGCAAAGTCGAAAGGAGGAAGTAGTTTGTTAAATACTCTTCCTTTTCATCTCCTTGCTCTCTGTATCTTACTTAATCAATCATCCATACCAACTGATTTTCCTAAAATACAGAATTTCCTGTATTATGTCCTCTTACTTGATAATGGATCTTAAAATCTTTCTCTGTTGCCTGAAGAACTAGATCCAGAGTCCAAGGCCTTTATCTGGCCCTTTTCTGTTCATTAGAATTTTTCTTTCATTTTTTTGCTTATATGAAAATGTGCCCAGCTGCTTTTTCCACTAACACTCTGTACATTTTTTGTGCCTTTGTGGTCATGTTATTCCCCTGTTTGAAATACCTTTTGTTTTTGTCTCTCGGGTCCTGCCCATCCTTAACGAGTAATTTAAGATCTCACCTCTTTTATGATTCTCATTAACATAAGCTAATGTCAGTTTTTAAAATCTTATTTCCTAAACTGCACATTTTAGCCCGATTGTGACCGATTTGGTACAATATTTTTGACTTTTATTATCTCTGTTTGTTCTATGTAAGCTTCAGCTTCCAAAAATTAGGACAGGTTTTCTTTTTAAAAACAGGATCATTTCTTATGCTACTTGCTGCTGCTCATGTGTTCACCTTAGGGCATGACATAGAAGGTAAACACCATAATTAAAAACAGAAGTAAATCTGTTATACCACATTTAGCAGACTCTCTTTATTTTTTAGATTTATGAAGAACTCTTCCCGTGAATTCATGGTGTTTCATCCTATATACGACTGAGATATCAGTAAGTGATGAATGTCTCTAGTAAAGATATAGCCACAGTATAAGCAATTGTATTAAAAATACCTTTCACCTGTTGAAACCTGGGTCTATCTGCAAAAAGCTTTCACATGAACTCATTCACTTCTGTCTGCAAGCTACTTTATTTCCACTTTGTAATCTAAATAAAGTGGAAGTGAAGGTGGATTTGAGTAGAAAAAGAGTTTCTCTTAGGCCACTAATATACTTGTGGTACAGGAAGCTTTTTGGCAGGGAGAACTTTTTTATTTCCTTCCCCAAATTGTATTTATAAATGTTTTTCATCAAATGGAGAATAAATGTCTTTGTACTTCTCATGCCTTACAAATAGGAATATGCTGAGTCCACATATTTTTATTTTTATTTTTTTTATTTTTTTATTTTTTTTATTTTTGGGACAGAGAGAGACAGAGCATGAACAGGGGAGGGGCAGAGAGAGAGGGAGACACAGAATCGGAAACAGGCTCCAGGCTCCGAGCCATTAGCCCAGAGCCTGACGCGGGGCTCGAACTCACGGACCGCAAGATCGTGACCTGGCTGAAGTCGGACGCTTAACCAACTGCGCCACCCAGGCGCCCCCACATATTTTTAATTTTAACTTATTTGTTTCATCAGTTCTTTATGGAACAACCACTATGTGTTTAAGACACGTGCTAATAATATATAGTAAGGACCCAAAAAAGGATCGAGACTCAAAGAGCTCTCCCAAGCAAGGGGAAATGCATAAGAATAGATAACTGTTGATGGTGTAGCCAGTTCACTAAGCTCATTTAACACTAGGCATACTTCATTTAAGCTTTTGTTGACCTCCCCCCCCCCCCCCCCCCCCCCGCCCATGTGTTAGGCACTGTGGACACATTGGAGGATAACTGTGACCAGAACTGACAAGGTCTGTTTTTTCATGGAATTCATAGTCTAGTGCGGGGATGAGGAGGAAAGACAGGGATGGGCAAAGCAAGTAAATAAGTAACTAGCAGGCATAGAGAGCAGTAAGCATTTTGAGGGAAGTAGAGTGATGTCACAGGGTATAACTGAGTTGGGGAAGGACTTTAGGGTTGTTAAAAAACCATCTCAGAATAAATTTGAGACTGGGAAAACGTACAAACTAGTTAGAGGTCTTAGTGACAGTGGAGACAGAAGGGAAGTTTGAGAAATAGAATGGAGGTAAAAATGCAGCACTTAGTGATAGATCGGATGTGGGATACAAAGTAAAGGAAGGACTCAAGGATGAGGCCATCAGAGATCAGGTGATATTTATAGCTGTGGAACTGGTGAGATTACCTGGAAAAAAAAAATCCTGCTGAAGCACACTGCCACATTTGAGGTGGAAGAAAATAAATAGCAAAGGAGATTGGGGAGTGGCCAGTTACATACAAGGAAAAGTAGGATGGAGGTGACACAGAAGCAGAGGGAGGAGAGCATTTCAGGGAGGCTGGAGCACTTATTTTTATCGAATGCTGCTACAGTTTCTGTCAGTGGAAGCCCGAGAAATGCCATTGGCTTAAATTGCGTAGAGGTTTGCCAGTGACCTTGATGAACACACTAGTAGTGGGCTGGTAGACAAAGATGCCAGGTTTGGTAGTCTGAATGGGAGGCAAGAAAGTGGAGACACATGTGGACAAATCCTCTGAGAACTTTTGCGATGAAAGGGGAACATAGAAATGATGGACTACTTGTGGGGATAGTAGGATTAAGAGAGGGCTCTTTTAAATCGGGAAATTCTAGAGGATCTGTGTGTGCTAATAGGAGTGGCGCATCAGTGATACATGGTTTGATGTGGGGAAAAGAGGGAATGGCTGAAGAAGTTCGGTCCTCCAGAAGGTAAACGAGAATGGCAGCCAGACTACTCATAGGGAGCAGGGCTATTGAGTTCATGTAATGGGAGACACAACAGTGTACGTGCAGATACATTAATAGGTTTGGTATTGGAAAACGAATTTTTGTCTGATGACTTCTATTTTCTAATTGAAGAGTGAAGTGGGATTATGAACTGATAGTAGGGCAGAGGGGGCAGTGCATGATGCTTGAGCAGAGAAGAGGCGATGTCAATGGCAGTCTCAGAGGTGGTCAGCCAGCTAAGAAAACTCAGGTTGGTGAGTAGTGCTTAGTGCCTCCTTGGGACCTTTGACCATGAATTGAAAGAGCAGGTAGCGCAGTTGTGGGATTGACCCCCGTCCCCTCCCCTCCCCCCCGGCAACATATAGTTCCTGGAATAGGCAGACCAAATGATTGGAGTCGGTCGGGGTTGGGGTTTTGCCAGGTTGGTACCAAGAAGGACTAGAGCAGTGAGATACGTGATGGTATTTGCAAGATACTCATAATGGGTCGTGGATTGATGGTAGGGATGTGAATGGAGACTGGAGGGGGTGAAACCATGGTTGGTGGATGATGAGGGATTCGGTGAGGCCGAAGGATTTCTGCAGTGGGATTGCTGAGTGAGCGAAGCAGTAGTGAGAGAGGGAGATGCTGGAAGGTCAGATTTTGGAAATGGTGCAACTCATGGGTGAAGAGGTCTAGGGCATACCTGTAGTGGTGGGTGGCTGACGTGAAACAGGGTTATGGGAGTGGAGAAAGGCGGGCACCAGATTCAGTAGTGACGTTACTAAGAAGACCAAGTCAGGAATGAAAGTCGTCCGTGAATGAGGTCAGGTTAACGGATGTCAGCGGCGAGGAGGAGAGAGGGAAGGCTCATAGCCGCTGGGAGGCGTGAGGCCCCGTGGGACTGGGGTATTCGAAGGAGGAAGGAGGAGACCTGGCTTGAGCTGCAGCGAGGAGCAAGGAACGCATACTGCCCGCTTTCGAGGCACAGGGGGTGCAAGAAGAAGAAGAAAACCCTGTGAGGAGGTGGCAGGAGAACCAGTTTCTGCGAAGATTACCAGGTGAAGAGGACCTTCAGAGAAGAGGTGCGCTCACAGATGAGTGTGAGCGGCATCGTCCCAGAGAACGTACTGGAAGGACCTGGGAGGGATAGAAAGTAGGGGATTGGATCTGACAGGCAGACGTGCACGTCAGTGATCATGGATAGCCCAGGAGTCTTGGATCTTTGGCTGAGACTGACGAGAGGAAAGACGACATGAGGTGGGATTAGCCTCCTGACAGCCTGTCGTGAAAGGTGACAGTCAGTTTACCTTAGTGCGTTGATAGGGCCTTGGGCAGCTGGTAAGAGGCCATCAGGTATGCGTGACCTCTCCTGACTTGCACAGTCGGCCAGGGAAGACTAATGTAGTGCGAGGAGCTAAGATCTGAAATGTTGCCGTGGAGCTGTACTCTGCTAATCAGTGTTTCCGTCACATGTGTTTAATAGCACACAGTTCTAGGTCTGAAATCCCAATAGACGTGTTCATGTTACACCTTGAAATTCATACGGTAGGCGTCTCGACCCAAATTCCATGGAATATATGTTGAGCACTTACTGTGTGTCAGGTTCTCTCAGGAATTGCAAGCTTAAGATTCTACATCTGTCTTTTGTAGTTGCTTACTCTCCAGTGCAAGTGTTCTTAACATTAAACTCCCTAAAAAGTACGTGGATTGAGTATGTGTGCCTTGTTTGTTTGTTCCCTGACGACTGAGGGGAGAAGAAAGAGTGCAAAACTTTTATCAGATCCTCAAGCATGCCTGTTTATTTAAGGACCACTGGTCTAATAGGAGAGAAAGACATGGAAACTAATTGTAAGGCAGTGAAATCATTGCCATCACAGAGCAAAATAAAGGAAGCACAAAGTCACCTTGGAGGATGAGTTCATTAATTCATTATACATTCATTTATTGGGGAACTTGGTGTTCTCTAGTCTGTGTAATTTACACATTATTTGAAATCTTTCAACATCGTTTTTATGTGAATTATTAATACTCATGTTTATAGACTGGCATACATAAGTGAGGAGAGGTTAATTAATTGCTTAGACCCACATAGTAGTAGCTTCCGATCTGAAACTGGTTCTAAAGTTCACTGCTTTTCATTAAGCCACACTGAGGAGCCGCTGAAGGACTCGTTGTCAACAAGAGTGTGTAACGTCATGTTTGTGCTTTCAAATTTAGCAGTGATGGAAGTAGGTCTTTAATGTGTTTGCTTTCTCTCTTTATGGAATTTTTAATCACTTAGAAACTTGATACAATGTTAATTTGTCTATTACGTGTGTTAGACTATGATGTGTGTTTAATTATATTTTTATTTCTTTTAAAAGAACTTTTTGGATTGTTGTTTTTGGACCAAAAATGACCTCTATTATCAAATTAACTACCCTCTCGGGGGTTCAGGAAGAGTCTGCTCTTTGCTATCTTCTGCAAGTTGACGAGTTTAGGTTTCTCCTGGACTGTGGCTGGGATGAGCACTTTTCTATGGATATTATAGACTCCCTGAGGAAGTAAGTTACTTCTCCTATTTTTAGACTTCAGTTAAATCAACTTCTCTTTTCTACACCATGATACCATTTTGATGTGACCCAGTGTATGTTCTCTTTGCTCTGATTTATAGTAAAAGACCTGATTTTGCATGCCAAAGAGCCAAAAAGCGACTGTTTTCGTTTTTAAAGTTTTGATTGTATTATGAGCTATGTTTATTGAGATTCAGTAAAATGTTAATTGTTACTTGGCTAATGGGTCCCAGTAGAGATCTTTGCACCCTAATTTTAGAGAAGATTAGGTTTAGAAGAATTTGAAGAGGAAAAAACCTTCCCTGTGGAAGGTCTGCCGTCAGATCACATTTGCTTACTTTCTATGTGTTTTGAGGCTCTACACTGAGAATTGGTGCCCAGAATACTGACCATGTGATATAAAACAATACTGATCCATCAAAGAAAAATTCAGTTATGTTTTCAGTTATATTAATTATGGAAGGAAAGGGGACTGAAATATTTGGAAACTAGAACTTGTAGCAAAACATTTTTTTTTTCTTAATTTTCTCTGTCAGTGAGAGTGTGTGCTTTATTGATTAGTTGAAGTTTCACTGTAGAGAACGTGCTATCAGGCACCATGCTAAAAAGCGGAGGCAAAAATCCATAATAAACGTGTGGCCATTTCTGAATGAACAATTTCTGAAATTTCAAGTTGAGTTCTTCAACCTAAATTAATGGCATATAAGATAACCAATGAAAATCAGCTTCTGTGTGGTGTGTCTACTGGTTCTCTTTTTCCTTTTTTAATTTTTTTTAATGTTTATTATTTTTTGAGAGACAGAGAAACAGAGTGTGAACGGGGGAGGGAGAGAGGGAGACACAGAATCCCAAGCAGGCTCCAGGCTCCGAGCTGTCAGCACAGAGCCCGACGCGGGGCTCGAACTCAGGAACCGTGAGATCGTGACCTGAGCCGAAGTCGGACACTTAACCGACTGAGCGAGCCACCCAGGCCCCCTCTTTCTCCTTTTTTTAAAAAAGATGTGTGTAGACATCACCTGTTTCTGTGCAACATATTCCATACTTGTGATATCTATGCAACATGGGGGTAGTAATAACTGAACTTGATTGGTGTCGTAACTTTAGCTCTTAGTTTTCCTCTTTGACCCCAGCATAGTCTTTACTCTTCAAAACAAGTCTGGAGAAATGGAGAGAGCGTTTTGATCCTGTTCTTGTAGGCATGTTCACCAGATTGATGCAGTGCTGTTGTCCCATCCTGATCCTCTCCATCTTGGTGCCCTCCCGTCTGCTGTCGGGAAGCTGGGGCTGAATTGTGCGATCTATGCGACCATTCCTGTTTATAAAATGGGACAGATGTTCATGTATGATCTTTACCAGGTAAGTGAAGCGGTAAAAAAAAGCTTTTTATACTCCCGCAGTGATCATTTTTAACCTTTTATTTGTGTTTTTCTTTTAGTCTCGACACAACACAGAGGACTTTACGCTCTTTACATTAGACGATGTGGATGCAGCCTTTGATAAAATACAGCAGTTAAAATTCTCTCAGATTGTGAATTTGAAAGGTAAAAGAATGTCTGCAGTAGTAATTGGACTAACAGGGTTTAAGCTGCTGACAAGTCCAGGGAGAACTTGTAGTAAATATCCTAGGGCCTGTGGTCTGAAAAAGCAAAGATTAGCATCTGATTAGTTCTGATATGGACGCTGAACTTCTCCCAAGTCGTTTGGATTTTAAAATAGTCCAGGCTAAATAGCAACAAAACGTTAGTAGCTCAAGCCTTTTCACATGCAGCCGGGGAAAACTTAGTGTTTCCTGTGTATGGTGCACAAAGGTGATGTGGCCGCATCCTCCTCCTAGGACTTCACAGTGGGGTTGAGGGGCTAAAGCCGCTCTGGTGACTGGAGGTGGTGTTCAGGCCTTGAAGGAGATGCAGTGCCTTGGCGGCATAGTAGCAGATAACTGAATTCTAGAATCGGATATTAAGAAGTTTATTATGTAATTAGGTCAGGAAGTCCTCTCTTAGGTACACATTTCTCCTCTGTGGAGAGATAGGTATTAAAGATTGTCATAAATATGAAGCCTGGCAATGAAATTGAAAAAATGGCATAACAGTGGACTCTGGTGATTTAGTCAAGAAATAACAATGGTCACAACAGTTTTGCTTGTGCTTAATTTTTCTGTAGGATAGATTTTTTACCATAATGAGATCTGAATGGTTACTCTGAGTTTAGAGGTTAGCAGAAGGAGAAACATTTGATGATTGTGTGTACAGTGTAAATATTCAAATGTATTTGGAGTGCCTGGATGACTTACTTGGTTAAGTGTCTGAATCTTGATTTCGGCTCAGGTCACGATCTCACAGTTCGTGAGATCGAGCCCCTCATTGGGTTCTGCACTGACACTGCAGAGCCTGCGTGGGAGTCTGTCTCTGTCTCTGTCTCTCTCTCCACCCTCCCTCTTTTTCCCTCCCTCTCCCCCCACCCCCTCTGCCTCTTCCCCACTCTTAACTTGCTCTCTCTCTCTCAAAATAAATAAGTAAAAACAAAAAATATTCAAATGTATTCATTCATACTAAGTAATTAATAGTGTATTGGCTTTTAAACTTGATTTCTATATACTGCTTTTTATAAGCACCAATAGGTCTGCAAGAATTCATAACAATATGACAAGAGTGTTTGTCTATAGTGAAGGAGTAGAGTAGCTGGGGGACAGGAGAGTGAGACTTGCATTTTCATTGTATGCCTTGTTACTTTGGAATGGTGTATCACTGTATATATTAGCTATTAAAAATAGTTTACAAGTAAATAAGCTTTCTTTAGGATTGTAAAAGAAATCTGAGTATTGTCATTATCTTTTTGACACAGGTAAAGGACATGGCTTGTCTATCACACCTCTGCCAGCTGGTCATATGATAGGTGGAACAATATGGAAAATAGTCAAAGATGGAGAAGAAGAAATTGTCTATGCAGTTGACTTTAACCACAAGAGGGAGATGTAGGTATATCAAGACAAAAGCTAACGGAGATGCAGTTGGTGGTGTTTCATTCTTTGGGGGGAAACTTAAAAAGTTATTTTTTTTTTAACCAGAAATCTAGAACTATTTAAAAGCCTCAAGTAGTGAACGTTTTCAAACTTAATTATTTTCACTGTGAGGGAAAACTTTGATTTAAGAGATAAAATATATTTTACAAATTTACACCTAAGTATCCACTCTATAAAACAGGTATCTCCCTGGAGATGTTGGAAAGGAGATTAATTTTTGTACATAAAATTATATCTTATATGCTACTTCACCTGCTATTTAAAGGAACTTTGTGGATGGGTGTTTTTTTTTTAATAAAGTTAGTAATTATCATATAACTACATTTGAAGTCAGACTCCCTTAAAAAAAAAAAATGAAGTCAGACTCCCTTTAAAAGGGAACATAGTAGTTGTAAGTTTAAATATTTCATTTTGTATTCACAACATTACAATAAAATCGTTTTGTAGAGGCTTCTTTTGTAATTTCTGTACATTAAGTTTATAGTTATTTTGTATTAGATTACAAAAGCCTCAAGATCTTCTGGATCTTCTATTTAGAGATATATAAGTAATGAATTTTAGGCTTTTGTAGTCACAGATTAATGAGTAAAGGATGGATTTTTGAGTAATGGTATTCAGACATTTTGGGGGAAAGTTTGTGTCTTTTTTTTTTTTTTTTTACTGCTTATCAAATGTATTTTAGATGGATTAAAATTAAATAGAAAATGAAACAATATTCATGAGTCTAATCTCTGATTTGGAAAAGAGTTTGTAAGTGTAAAGTTACCAGACCAGGTTACCACAGAAAACTTTGATAGATTTGGTTATATACAGATTCAAAATGTCTGAAATAATTAAGACCAATACAATAGAGAAAATATTTGCAGCAAGTTGGCTAAAGACATTTATATGTAGAAGACCAGATATTAACCAATCAAAAAGATGCCAGTGACAAAATGGACAAAAGTTATAATGTAAAATTAAAATGATAATTCTTTTTAAAATTACATACCATTAAAATGACTCTTAAATGGTAATATTCTTCCAGGAAATATTGTGTGAGTTGCTCATTCTTTCTGGTTGAACTTTACTGGAAAAGGGAGAGCTTTCTAGAAAAGGTTAAATCTTTCTGCAAGCCAGTTAGCAAAATTGTATATTGTAGTAAATACATCTCTAGGAATGTGTCCTAAAGAAACCGTCAGAAATGCAATTGAAACTTTTTGCCAAAATGTTCTTTGAGATTATTTATAATGACAAGAAAAGTAACCTAAATAATAAGGGAAGTGATCAAATAAAACACACAGTAGGAAGTGCTTAACAGTTGTTAGAAAAATAGATTTAGAAACCAATTTTAAGGTCATGGGAGAAAACCAGGGTATAGAACTGAATATATAGACATGGGATGCCACTTTTAAAAAATACGTTCACACGTATATGCATAGAAAACTGTGTTTATATGCTTAGAAGGATATATGCCAGAATAATATATTGATTTCTCAGAGTGGTGGTACGCTGGAAGATCTTAAGTTTCCTTTTTTAAAAATTTTTTTTAATATATTAGATTTCTTATCAATGAGCATGTGTACTTTTATAGTTAGAGGAAAATCTTATAAAAGAAAGTTGCTTTTTTTTAGGTGAGATAAGCTACTGTTTATTTGAGGTGATATAAAATATTTCTCTTCTTCAACTTTGTTATAGCCATTTAAATGGATGTTCCCTGGAAATGCTAAGCAGACCCTCCCTGCTTATCACAGATTCATTTAATGCTACGTATGTGCAGCCTCGGAGGAAACAGAGAGATGAACAGCTTCTGAGTATGTATTACCTAATGTCCTCTGTGGAAGTGCATGGTAGTGTGAAATACTGTTTTTTCTATTTTGTTTAACACTTCTCTTGTCATATGAGCTTGGTTAACTCTAGTATTTTTGGAAAAATATTATGTGATCTTATCATTATTTTGTACAAAAAGATGCTTTAGTTCCTTTGAATTTAGCTTTTGTGAGATAGGTATAAAGATTGACCTCTCCCTGCCCTTCAGCACATAGCTAGCTCTATTTGGCACTCACTGGTATGTGTCTGGGGGATGCCAGAATGTATAAAGAGCTCACAGAAATCATTTAGAAAAACATTTACACTCTAAAAAAATGAACCAAGGAGATACACGAGGGTGGAAATAGTCCACTGATTTTGGTGTTGGGTGTCTTACATTCTAGTAGTCTTGGTTCTAAAGAGGAGCCTCCGGACCATCCCTGGTTGCTTCCGATTTGGCTCTAGCTGCTTTGCCTTTTACTCTTTTTTTATAAGCTGCATGAGATTTCAGCAAGAAAAATGGATTCTGCTTTTACACGTTTGAAACCACTGTTTTCATTTCTCTATTTAAAAAGCATAACTTGTGGGGGCACCTGGGTGGCTCAGTCGATTGGGCATCTGACTCTTGACCTCTGCTCAGGTCTTGATCTCAGGGTTGTGAGTTCAGGCCCCATGTTGGGCTCCATGCCCTACTTAAAAACATAATCTGTGTCCTATGTTTTAGTCACCTATTCAATTCTTATGTCTTTTTGTTTGTTTCTGCTAGAGTTTGTTTTTACCAAATATCTCAAAGTGGATTTCCATGCTCTAGATTAAAGTCTAAACATAAAGTATAAATGTGTGCATGTGTGTGTATACATTTGGGAATCATTTATAACAAAGTTATAAATAATTGACCCTGGTGTAGTGTACGAATGTCATTTTCTTTCTTTTAAAAAAATTTTTTTTAAGTTTATTTATTTTGAGAGAGAGAGAGAGAGAGCACACAAGCAGGGGAGAGGCAGAGAGAGAGAATCCCAAGCCGGATCTGTACCACCAGTGCAGAGCCTGACATGGGGCTCGAACTCACGAACCGTGAGATCATGACCTGAGGCAAAGTCTGACTCTTTTTTTTTTTTTTAATTTTTTTTTTTAAACGTTTATTTAGTTTTGAGACAGAGAGAGACAGCATGAATGGGGGGAGGGTCAGAGAGAGAGGGAGACACAGAATTTGAAACAGGTTCCAAGCTCTGAGCTGTCAGCACAGAGCCCGATGCAGGGCTCGAACTCACGGACGGCGAGATCATGACCTAAGTCATATGCTTAACCAACTGAGCCACCCATGCGCCCCCAAAGTCTGACTGTTAACTGACTGAGCCGCTCAGGCACCCCTTGAATGTCATTGTTCATGTGTACTCTGGGTGGAGAGGGTTGGGGACCACTGATTTACAGTTTTTTCAGTGAAAAAAAGTAGAGTTAATGGCAATGTCCTTCACTCCTATGAGGATACAGTCACAGGATGTACAAAAAAGTAGTTGTAATAACGTGAATGGAATTTTAATTTTGCACTTGGCCTGAGTGCTCATTTATAAATTACAGTCTTTATACTAAAAACGTGGAGATGAAGTCCTCTTCAATTTTGTAGCAAGGTATTGTTATGCTTGATACAGAATGTATATTCTTGTTTTCTAGCAAATGTCCTGGAAACGCTTCGAGGTGATGGAAATGTGTTAATAGCAGTGGACACTGCAGGCAGAGTTTTGGAACTTGCTCAACTCCTTGATCAGATCTGGAGAACTAAAGATGCAGGGCTAGGTGTCTACTCACTGGCCCTCCTGAATAATGTCAGCTACAATGTGGTGGAGTTTTCTAAGTCCCAGGTTTGTTTCCATATTGTCCTTCGTAATAAAGAAGGTTGCTACGGAAATTGGGCTTATGGAAAGCAATGTTTTAGTTGTCCTTTGGATTTTATTTTTCTGTGAAAGAGGTTGATGATGATGGTGGTGATAATGGTACTAAAAGCTAAAAAAAGAACCACTTGTACTGTGTGTTCATGTGGAATATTTCATGTAATCCTCATGTACCCTGTGAAGTAGCTTCTGTTTTTGTCCCCATCTTACAGATTGGGTAAGTTGTTTCTCCTCTAATGCGTGGTATCACATTCTGTAAAATGGGGACACATACCTCCTAGGATATAAATGGTAGAATCCATTTTTCCCTTCTTTCTGAATGAACTCTTTCCCTTGAACTAGAAATTTTGGGTAAGAGATTTATTTAGAACTTGTACTCTGCTTTCTCAGAAAGATTTAAGGTGACGTGTAACTGAGATATAATGCAGAATTGGATTTTTAGGGATGAACTGTGGGGTGGGAGGATGTCGTCGTGGGGGACAGAGCAGAAAATAAGCTGCTCATCAAAACGGTTCAAGTTTAAGCAACCACTGGTGGGAAAGACTTAAAAAAAGGCAGAATGTGAACTCTTCGGCTTTGTAGAAGACACTGGAGTTACAGTCTAGTATTCTCTACTTCTTGTCATCCTTTCCCCCCATACCAGGTAGAATGGATGAGTGACAAATTGATGAGATGTTTTGAAGACAAAAGAAATAATCCATTTCAGTTCCGCCACCTCTCTCTGTGCCACGGTCTTTCTGACCTGGCCCGGGTACCGAGCCCTAAAGTGGTGCTTGCCAGCCAGCCCGACCTGGAATGTGGATTTTCAAGGGATCTCTTTATTCAGTGGTGTCAGGACCCTAAAAACTCAATCATTCTAACCTACAGAACTACTCCTGGGACTTTAGCACGTTTCCTAATTGATAATCCTTCCGAAAAAATTACAGAAATAGAGGTAAGCGCTTGTATGTGAACTTTTGTCGTAAAACCGTTTGGGGGACACGTTATGCACGATGCTTATAAAAATCAGTGACCAGAAATTAAGCTTGAAGTTGTTTCCAGATTTTTATGAGTTGAGAGCCTTTCCCAGCACAAATTTCAGAGCTCCTTAATTGGAAATTGTCATTCTTTAGCCCTTACGTGGTATCCTCTGGAACCGTGCCCAAAAGGTAGCACATACGCTGTGTTTTTAATCCCTCTGTGAAAAAAGTTCTGTCCGCATCCTTTCCCTAATTGAAATTGAAATCTGGCTGTTTCCTAACATGCTCCTTTGCCTGTGGGCCTCCCAAGGAGGTGCTCTTTGTTTCTCTTTCATGCCTTATGCGCTTTGGGTGGGGTAGGTGTCCTTTTTCCTCACAGCTTTCAAGCCATTTCTCTTCCCTCTGGGTTATGCCATCAGACTTGACAGTATACTGACCCCTTCTGACATTTCCTGATCTCTTGGTCATTCTCTGTTATTCATTGGTGGCTTTAACGTGGGTCACAGTCTTCCTGTCCACTCACTCAGGACTGCCTTCTTGATGACTCTAGCTTCCGTATGTGTAATCTGTCCAAGTCCTTGGCCCTCTCAGTTCCTTGACACCTTGTTTCTTAATGATCTTTTCCTCCAATCCACCTTAGCCATCCCTTCCCACAACCATGCTGTCTACTCTTGTGGTCATACCCTTTACCTTGTTATGGGTTATCTTTAAAGGTCTCTACCTCAAGCATCCCACTCTGATCTTACAGCTGACTTGCTCTAATACTCCATGCCAGCATTTTTTTGGTCCCATTGGGACTTTCAGTTTGTGAACCTTGCCACTTTGACTATCCATTGCTCCAGCTTCTAGTTAATGGTCCATTGTTACTTTATAAACACCTTTAACTCTGTTAGCCTCCTGTTTATTGTAACCACCTGGCAAAGCTGTGACTCTGGTTAAACCATTTGCTTGACCATGCCTCTACCCAGGCAACCTTCTGTTTGTTACTAGTGTTAATGCACCACTGGGTGGATAGGTCTCCCTTTACATTCATGACCTCACATCTCAGACCAACACTTAACCACCAGCCCAACATGTTGCAGGATATTCCTTGTCCTACTCCAGTAAGATAGCTACGCACCTTCTTTCTCCCCAAATATCCCACAGCCCATCTCAGCCCTCACTCATAGCACAGGAACTTGTTTCAAACTTAGCTAAGAAGTAGAAGCAGACAAGAGTCCCTTATCTTCTCCCCACGAAATAGCCTAACTTGTTTCTGTATCTGCACTTGCTGCTTTATCTCCTGTTATGGGAGCAAGACAGTTGGCCGAATGACCAAAGGCTATTTTGCTTCATAACCAACTCATCAAATCTATCAGTTTTCCAAAATTAGTATCATTAGCTATAAAGTTTATAGCAGCTGATACTGAATGGGTTGATAACTGCCAAAGCTGTGCAGTGTTTTAGATGACACTTTATTTTTCCTTCCTAGTAACCATTTTAAGGAATGTTTAGTTTGTTAAAAGCTGAGTGATAAGGGTACCTTAGTCTTTACTTAAGAAAGTACGAAAATAGTAACGAAAATCTCATATACATTCACTATCAATACGGAATCGGTGAGGAAGGAGTCAGAACAAGCAAATCAAAGTACACACTGTCCTTTGGGTTATTTAATAGCTTAGAAACACAAAGGTTTTTAAAAAAAAGTTTAAAAGGGCTCAGAAATACTTGAAATAGTTTCTTCAGATAAATACTGAATCTGAAAATAATAATTACTAGAAATTCAATTAAGGCTGATATGCCATTTGAGGAACTAATAAAAATATTAAAAGCGGTTTGAGTTTGGAAAACGTAGAAGGGGACATTTGGAGCTGTAACGTGAAATGTTAGGTTTTTGACTTTTTAGTAAGTGGTACTACTGCTCAGGCTTCTTTCCTTTCTCCCCTTGTAGGACTATTTCTTCTCTCTGTTTCTTGTTAGTTTTCCCCTCTACTTGGGCATATCCAAAACACTGTCCTTCCTGCCCCCAGTCTCACACTTACTCTTTTCTGAGTCTTCCCCATCTCAGCATAATAGCAGCACTTTCCACATATTGACTCTTGCCAGAAAAGTACAGATTTTTTAAATGTCCACTGGTGTACAACATAATGTTAAGGGTGTGCGTGTTCTCTCGCCTGTACCCAGACCAAGAAATATCACCAGTACCCTAGACATTCCCTTCCCGATCCTTCCTGTCCCCTCCCCAGGGTAACCACTATCTTGATTTCTGATGCATAGATGGGTATATTATAAACATTCAGATGTTTTTGAATAATTTAATTCATTTTAGTAACTCCATAATAATGCAGGCGTATATATGTACTGTGATTATTGAATCCAGCGGTTCTCAAAAGTATGGTGTGAAGACTCCTGGGAGGGGGGCCTGAGATCCTCTCAGGGAGTCCCCAAGGTCAAAGCCACTTCTCATAGTAATGGTAAGATGCTATTTGCCTTTTCACTGTGCCTACATTTAATGTTGCCGAGTGAAAACGGTGGCGGGAAAGGTGCTGGTGCCGTAGCATAAACTCAGGCACTGGCGCCAGACGGCAGCAGTCACCGCATTTCGCATTGCCACACGCCCGAAGTTCCAAAGAAGAGTCCGTTTCACTTAAGAATGGCCTCGATGAGGGGCGCCTGGGTGGCTCAGTCGGTTAAGTGGCCAACTTCAGCTCAGGTCATGATCTCGCGGTCTGTGAGTTCGAGCCCCATGTCGGGCTCTGTGCTGACAGCTCAGAGCCTGGAACCTGTTTCAGATTCTGTGTCTCCCTCTCTCTGACCCTCCCCCATTCGTGCTCTGTCTCTCTCTGTCTCAAAAATAAATAAATGTTAAAAAAAAAAAATTAAAAAAAAAAAAAGAATGGCCTCGATGAAGCAGTAAAAGTTATGAATTTTATTAAATCCTTTCAGTAAAAGGTTTTTAAAACTCTGGGTGGCAGGCTGGGAAGTGTGCATAAAGCAGGTATGCCGCACGCTGATACGTGATGTTTGTCTTGAAGAAAGCCAGTTGGGGAACTGAGTTGTGAGTTACACTGGCCGCTTTCTTCTTGGAACGCCATTTTTTCCTTGAAATAATGACACAGCTCTTCAGACTTGGGTATCCAGCAGAGATGAGCAAGGTGGGCTTGTCACTCTGAGGAAAATAATTGACAGCGTTTTTTGCCTAAATCCAATAAAATTCAAACTTTCAAGTGAAAATTAGAATTTTGGAAAGCTGTGCTCTTCACCAGGAGATGGACAACGTAAACTTAGAAGGCTTTGCTGATGGGGTTGGTAGTGATATTTGCAAATGTGATGTTTAAAATATTGTCAAGGTTTGTAAGATTCGTGTAACTTGGTGAACCTGTATTTTGCAAATAACCAAAGCTTGTAGGTACAAAATAGCACACAAATAAAAGATCCATTCAAAGTGCAAGATAAATCAATCACTTTTAATATGTAACACTATAAAAAGTTATTGGTATCTTTCAGATTCCACATTACGCCTAATTTTTAAGAAACAACCAGCGTTTTGGGGTGCCTGGATGGCTCAGTTGGTTAAGCATCTTACTTCAGCTCAGGTCATGATCTCGTGGTTTGTGAGTTCCAGCCCCGATTCAGGCTTTGTGCTGACAGCTCAGAGCCTGGAGCCTGCTTCGGATTCTGTGTCTCCCTCTGTCTCTGCCCCTCTCCCATTCGTGCTCTGTCTTTTTCTCTCAAAAATAAACATTAAAAATTTTTTTTTGAAAACCTTTTTTTTTTTTTTAAATGTTTATTTTTGAGAGAGAGATAGAGGGTGCATGCACGAGTTGGGGAGGGACAGAGAGAGAGAGGGAGAGAGAGAATCCCAGGCAGGCTCCATGCTGTCAGTGCCGAGCCCAACATGGGGTTTGATCCCATGAATCAGGAGATTGTGACCTGAGCCGAAATCAAGAGGCAGAGATGCTAACCGACTGAGCCACCCAGATGCAGTGTTAGAGTTTTAATGTAACATCAAAGAATATTCATGGAAGCACTATTTAAATTTATTTCCCTTTTCCAACTATACATCTGTGTGAGGCTGCGTTTTCTTCATATGCTTTAACCAAAACAACATATTGCAAGAGAATGAATTCAGCAGATGTGAGCATCCAGCTGTCTTACATTGGGCTACAAAATAAAGAGACTTGTAAAAATGTAAAATAATGCCATGCTTTTTACTAATTTTTTTGTGTGGCGGGGGGTGGGTGGGGGGTCTTTGGAAAGTGTAATTATCTCTTGTAAAAATATGCTGTTAATATGTAATGATTTTATTACTTTTTAGTGAAAAGATGAATATTTTAAAATTTTCTCACTTTTAATTTCTGATTTGGTAGACATTAATAAATGTAATCTACCAAAAACCAAAAGTTGAGTCTGGTTTTTTACCATTCCAAACATTGCTGCAATGTGCTTTTTTTCTCACGCTTGTGATTGTTTCAGTAAGATAAATTCCTAGAAGTGTTATGTCAAATGACAAACACATTTTTATGTTTAGACATTGGCAGATTGCCTTCTAACATAGTTTATCTAACTTTTCCTGTAATAGTGGGTGAAGGTGCCCTTTTCCCACATAGTAATTACACTAATAGATTTAAGGTCTAATAGGTTTAAAAATGGTAGTGTACATTTCTTAAAATTTTGCCTTTTTCAGAAATCATTAGTGAAATTAGACATCTTTTCATAGCTATTTTTCTTATTTTGTCAATGGCTTACATATGGATTTGTCCTTTTTTTGACATGTTGATCATCTTAACTGATTTGGAAGAGCTGTTAGGAAAAAGAGCTTCTGATAGTCATGTAGTGCTGCAAATAATTTTCTCAGTTCCTTATAATTTTATGAGATTTTAAATGTCAGTGAGGGTTTTTTTTCCATGTTGCTGTATTTATTTTTTCCTTTATGGCTATTGGGTTTTATGTCTTGTGTAGGCCTATATCAAAATTATAAAAATATTATCTATATTTTTTTTCCTGATTGGTGATTTAAAAAAATTTTTTTTTTTTTTTTTACATTTATTTTTGAGAGACAGAGATAGACAGACCACAACTAAGGGGGGGCAGAGAGAGAAGGAGACACAGAATCCGAAGCAGGCTCCAGGCTCTGAGCTGTCAGCACAGAGCCCGACGCGGGGCTTGAACCCACAAACTGCGAGATCATGACCTGAGCTGAAGTCAGGCACTCAACCGACTGAGCCACCCAGGCGTCCCCCCGATTGGTGATTTTTAACTAGTTTAAATTAAACCCATCCTAAAAATGTAACAGCTCAATTTTAGTACTAATGTGAATAGGATCTGTCATCGCATGTAATGGAAACTTGAATGGTTTCAAATGTAAGATGATAAATTTACAGATATACTGTGTCTCACACCCCACTGCCTGAACCCCCTTGTAACGGTATTTCCTTTTGTTTGCTATTTTTCTTTAGTTAAGGAAGCGTGTGAAGCTTGAAGGGAAAGAACTTGAAGAATACTTGGAAAAAGAGAAACTAAAGAAAGAAGCTGCGAAAAAACTTGAGCAGTCAAAAGAGTGAGTTGTTTTCAAACAGATTAAAAGCTTATGGTTAATTGTATATAACTTAAGAACTTATTTCTAAGATAAATTTTAATTGAAAATATTTAAATTTTATGTCGAGTTTGTTACTTTTGTTACATCTTTATTTTTTTTTTTTT